TAAAATATTTGATCTGGACTCTCGGGAAAATCTCGCCGTCGGCGCCGCTGGTCTCGTCGTCGGCGCCGCTGGTCTCGTCGTCGGCGCCCTAGTTCAAATCTTCATATTTTGGTCATTTTCGCTCCAAATTCGCTACTTTTTGCTTCTTTTAGCTCTAATGACCATAATTCAACATACCTGCAACAAAACATCAAAAATACCTTTTTTAAAAGTGCAATATCATCAAAATCAGTGTAAAATAGGTATGAAAATCTCAACATATTTTCCTTTGGTCACTACTTCATTTACCTACGCCCATTTCGACATCCAATTTTTTTTCGACGCAAATCATATGCTAATGACGATTTGCATCGGAAATACCCATGATTAGTGTTGGAAAATTTAAATGCTAATCCATCAAATTCTCGTAGTGGCAAGCTGCTGATGTCGAAATTGAGAGCAGTACGGGCTGTGGACCACATAAGTCGTAGTTGGTCACTTCAGGCATATTGGTGGGTTACAAAGAGAACTTTAAGAGTCTAGAGAAAGTCATTATATTTTGAGTGCATGTTACACCGTCTTCGGGATGTGTCGTTGCATCGTATGTGGGGAGCGTAATTCTGCAGGATGTTTCGTTACTCTGCAATGTATGTCAGGATTTCTTTGCTCATGTTATGATTCCATAAGATGTTTCATTGCAATAAGTCAGAGGCGATCAACGTTGGTCGACTTTGTCCGACGAGCAATGGTGGATAGTGGTTGGCGGTTGCAGGAGTGTGATGTATTCGACGGTTCTACGGTACAGAAGTGATGTTGAACTTCAACTCATCTTTAAAGTTTCATTCTTCTTTTGGCTAAAGGCCTCCCCCTCTACCTCAAGAGGGGGTAGGGCACTACTTACAAAGTTAAGGAGAGATTTTAGACCACTCCATCGGACAAGCATGAGAGATTCCCTCGATCACACTATATTTTGTGAACATTTTAATGCTTTAATGATATTATAATTGAACGATCTTAAACTCGTTGAATTTATCTTATCAAAACACTCAATTTAACTATTAATTTTTTAGATTTAAAATCACCCGTCTTCCAATTATGCATTAAAAGTTTCAAGAAGTGCTTTAACAACTTGATATGAGATTGATTTGACATGAATTGAACTAATTTTGATACAATCGCGTGGAGCTGATTAGTTTAACTGCTAGTTTGTTGAAATCGAAGTGCTAGATAAATTTTAATCAAAGTTTAAACTTTTCTCACTTAAAAAAATTGGCTCTAACATTATTCGATAATACTTATGTTGAAGTATTATATTTACATTATTTAAATATTTGTTATTTAAATTTAAAACAATAATCAATAATTTTTTGCTGAAGGTCTTGGGAAATGCTTCATGTATGCATTACGTACATGTGCTCCAAAAGGTTATTTACTTTGAAGCCGTTACCCCTTCATTAATTACTATCACAGTCACAGGAAATAAGCACGGATGAGACTGCAGTCTTGAGGCAGAGATGACGTGGCTGCGGGTCCCACTTCCCCATGTGGCCTCCCTCCTGTCTCCACCAACTACTGCCGCTCAATCATTATTCACTACCATCCCCTCCCCTCACTCCTTCCAACTCAAAACCCCAACTCCAATCCCCTTACCTCCCTCCTGCTTCTCCCATGGCGAATTCCGATCCCCCCGGCGCCGCCACCACCACCGCTCCCCATCTCATCACCCAAACGTCATCACCAAACAACCAAAACCAGCTATCCCACCCGCCGGCGAAGAAACAGCCTGCAAAGGATCGCCACAGCAAGGTTGACGGCCGCGGTCGTCGAATCCGCATGCCCATCATCTGCGCGGCTCGCGTCTTCCAACTCACCCGCGAGCTCGGTCACAAATCCGATGGACAGACCATCGAATGGCTCCTGCGCCAGGCCGAACCCTCCATCATCGCCGCTACTGGCTCCGGCACCATCCCTGCCTCCTTCTCCACCTCTTCTTCCTCCAGCATCTCCAACGCTTCCTCGCCTTCTACTTTCATTCTCGGAAAACGCCTGCGTGCTGATGAAGACGCTCCTACCAAGGAGGAGTCCGTGGGAAACGGGCCGCCGAGCGGGTTGTGGGCGGTCCCGACGCGGGCTGACTTTGGTGGACAGTTTTGGAGCTTCGCGGCGCCGGAGATGGTTCTCCCGACGGCGATGGGGCGGTATGTTTCGCAGCCGATGGATGAACTGTCGGGGGCTAGAGTGGAAAACTATGTTCCGCTTGCGCAGGGACATCATCTCAATCTGCTTGCCTCCTTTTCAGGGGCGGCGGCGGCTCCGGCGAGTGCCGGCTCTAATGGGAGGCGGGAGGATGAACATCGCTGATTGTCGTACTTGACTTGGTGGAGTAGGGTTTTGTAGGGTTTAGCTTGGCCTTATGCTCTGGATTGACGTTGTTAGTGGATTTGCTGCTTCCTCGTATCGTGTGCTTCATTTTGCGTGAGATTTTTGAGGTTTCAAAGTGGTAGTGTAGTAAAATTGGATGAATGATACAATATTTGGTTCATTCATAATGTTGCAGTTCAAGAAATCAGCCATCTGGAATTGGGAATAATGCTGATGTGTGGATGAATTGGAGTTCAGCAATTTAGTGTTGCAAGTTGCAGGCCGAGTTGGTGGAGGGTTACTGACATCGTTACCCGACCTTTATTGTTGTCTAAAAATTAAGTGATGGTGATGGCGGAAGAAACTCTGTTTTAAGCCAGTAAGTTCTCTGTATTGAAGCCTATCTGTATTTTAATTTTTTTTTTAGTCAGATGTAGAACATTGATTGTTCGTGCTTAGCAAGCGAAATAAAAGTTAAATTGCTGTGAAAATTGATCTTTTTTTCCTTTCATGTTTTGTCCCTGTGAGCATCTCTGGTGTGGGCTGGCCCTATGGATTTTTTTGAGTTTAATCAGCACCATGCCAATTAATTAGGAATAATTACCACTCTATGACCTCGATTCATTCATGTTTATGCGTACGAACTTCCTATTAACTTGAGATGCTGCTTCTGAATTTGAAAAACTCGCCTTTCTTGCTAAAGACCTAACTACATAGTTATTCAGAAAAGTTTCAAGTATTTTGTTTAGTTGAGGTTTCTCTTAAGGCTCAGCACTCATTTCTAGAATAATTTTGAATAGATAGTTTTTGAAGTTTAAATTTTAATTTTGATTTTTTTTAATTTTTTGCACTGAAACAACTCTAGCTGTGATAATTCTTCGTGCCATGGATTTTGTTTTTCATGTTTCCTTCATTATGACCGGGCTAATGGTGCACTTTTAACACGAATGATTCTTGGCTGGTTTACTATTTCTATAAGAAAGGTAAACTTATTTTCTTTTGGAATTTACTTTTCCCGTACTTCATTATTTCTATGAGTTTTATGTCCAGAACATTTTGTGGGCGGATTAAACATTTATCTATTTACTTGCTGCATTGTGAAAAGTTCCAAGCAGACTTGAAGTGGTCTGTATTGTGCAAAACATTATTGATGGTGTTTATCTGAATTTGCTAGAATGTTATAATTTAGTGGGTGATACAGATGCTTCTTTGGAGACTCTGGACGGATGGTCATGATTCCTATGTTTTCATGCTTACAAAAAACTAACTGCATAACTACTGTGAAAAATGCATTCATTTGGCTTATTTGATGTTTCTTTTAGGAGTCAAAAGTAATTTCTTGAATAATAATTTTAAATTGAGGGTTTTGAAGATGACGATGATGATTATGATTATTATTATGATGATGAGGACGATGTCAATTTTAAATATCAAAAACTTAATTGCTCCAATTGAAATTATAAGTACCCAAGTCGAGTAAAACGAAAGGGACAAAAGTGTGATTTACTCTTTTTGAGCAATCAAACGGAGCCTTATATGTGATAGACTTCTAATGCGTATGAAAAGGATTATTTAGTAGAATTTTGTCTCCTATTTTCCTTCTTCGTGGTTATGTTTCACTTTTCACATGAATGATTCGTATTTTTGTTTACTTTATTGCTTTAAATAAAAGGCATATTTCCTTGAATTTGTTCTGAATTTGCTTTTGCAATTACTTAACTATTTCCAAGGTTTTTATGCTCAAACCTTTTTATTTGTGTGTGTGCGTGCGTTCTGTTTCTTTTCACTGGCTGCATTCTGAAAAGTACCAAGCAGACTTGAAGGTTTTGCTGTTTATGCAAAAACAATGTTGAAGATGATCAACTTAAATCATAATTAAAAGCTCAGTAGTTATTACCGAGTAGAAATTAATTTTGTGGTCGTTTACACACCTTTTCCGTGAATAAGATCCAAATCCACAATGATTAAACACCCTACACTGTGAAAGCTAAGTGGCAATTCACGGGAACAAAAGGTATTATTAAGGTGCAAATCAAGGAAAATTGAAGTTAGTAATTGCTGATTAATTTTAGGGAAATTTACATACACACCACACAATTCTTATATCCAACACCTATGCTTGAAAATGTATATTTAACTTTTAAAAGGTAAAAGGGATTTTTTTATGTGATAATAAAGATTTGAGTGCCATGCATATAAATATTAAAATTTAGGCATTGGTGTTATGCAAAAGAATGTGGAAAACAAAATCACACAACAAAAAAATAATCAAACACGGTGCGATTTGCGTTGTTTGATGCAAATCTAACTACGTCCATGAGGAGGGTTTATTCCACTATGAACAAGTGGAGAGAAAGGAAAAATCGGTTGAATTTGAGTTACAACTCAACACACCTTAAATCTTCCATAATTTTTATATAAATAAGAGGGGATTAGGGGACACAAATCAAGAATATTTCAAATATAAACAAAATCATGTAATTAGATCTACATTTTCATAATATAGAAAAGATCATATGATCAGTTCTCCTCAAATTATGTTACATAACATCAATCTTTCAAATATAAACAATTTTTAATGTACAATCATTAGATTTAATATTTTCTATAATATTCTCCACCCCATCTCTTATTTCTAGATAATTGAGAGATGACAAACAAGTGCTCCAACATCACAACGACTGCACCAAAATGTTTGTCTATATACTCTCCCCTCCCAAAAGAATCAATGATGGCGTAATTTTTCAAAATGTCAGAATAGACAATCAATCAATCTTGAGCTCGAATGTTCACTAAGCATCCACAGTATGTGAACTTCTAGGTTGGTAATACATTTATGAGCATGTCCGCCGGATTCTTCTTCGTACCTATTTTCTTTAACATAACATTATCGTCATCAATCAAGTCTCGAACAAAGTGATACTTCACATCAATGTGCTTGGTACAGACATGATGAACTGTATTTATGACTAAGAATATCACACTATGACTATTATAAAATGCTTTTAGACTTCGTATCAACTTTCATGTCATTCAGTAGGCCCTACATTTATATCGTTTCCTTCATCGCCTCCGTAACTATCATGCATTCAACCTCCGTAGTAAACAAAATTAACACTAGACTGAAGAATTGACCTTCAACTTACTGAACCTCCTACAAACGTGGATAAATAACCAGTTTTAGATTTGCATCTATCCACATCACTTGCATAATCTGAATCAGTGTAGCCTACTCACAAATAAGTAATAAATGACTGCCTTTTAAACACCAAGTTGGTATCAACTATACCCTTAAGATCTCTTAATATACCTCAGAATACTTTTCACATCATGTCAATGATTCATCCCTGGATCATGCATGAATCTGCTCACAACACCAACTGTTTGTGTAATGTTTGATCTAACATAAAACATGACATACATCAAACTGTCCACTAAACAAACATAGAAACCGATCACATATTTTTCCTCTTCTAATCATCTTTAGAACACTGATCTTAACTCAATTGAAAATGAGATTCAATGTATGGACTCACCGCCTTGCTTGAGTCATCAACCCCAAACTTCTTCAACACATTTCGAACTTATGTTCCCTGCGAGCGCCAAACCTTTCCAACTGCATTTTCCTTGAGAATTTTCATGCTAAAAATTTTGTGAGCTTACCCAATTACATCTCAAAATGTTTAGATTGTTTCTTTATCTTATCAATCTCGATCTGACTAGCAGATGTAATAAACATGTTGTCAACATATAAAAAGTAGGTGAACTCACAACTAACCAATCTTTTAATATATGCATAATAATCGTATTGATTCCTTGTGTACTCCCACCCGATCATGAATTGATTAAATTTTTTATACCACTGACGCGGCGACTGCTTCAACCCATACAAAATCTTATCCAATCAACATATTAAGTCTTTTTAGGTTTCATATCAAGGTTGCTGCAACATATAGATCTACTCATACAATTGTCTATATAGAAACACAATCTTAATATCAAAATGTTCTAAAATCATATTGTATTGTGCTAAAGTCTAAGAGAACTTAGATTGAGAGATGCTTGACGACCACAAGGTGGTGGGGTGGGGGTGAATTCTCTATTTCTTTGCTGTTGGCCACATTCTGAAAAGTACCAACAAACTTGAATGTTTTGTTTTTTATTTCAAAATAATGTTGAGGATGGTTGACTTAAGTCGTAGTACAAGCTCATCAATTTTTGCTGAGTAGAAAATAATTTGTGATCGTTTACACACCATTTGTGTGAATAAGGCCCAAATGCAAAATGATTAAACACCCTACACTGTGAAAGCAAATTGGTACATCAAGAGAATAAAAGTTATTATTAAGGTACAAATCAAAGAAATATGAAGTTATGAATTGCTAGTTAATTTTAGGGTAATTTACATACAAACCACACAATTCTTATGTATTTACATATCTAACACTTAAAAAACTGTTATATTTATAACACTTTGGTGTCATATACCTATGCATGAAAGTGCTTATTTAACTTTTTTTTTCGTGATATTAAAGATTTGATTGCTATGCATGTAAATATGAAAATTTAGGCATTAGTGTTGTGCAAAACAATTCAAAATACAAAATCACGTAACAAAATACAATCAAACACGTGATTTATGTGGTTTTGCGTGAATTCGCCTTCATCCTCAAGGGAGGGCCGGGGGGGTTATTTGACTATAAATAGGTGGGGAGAAAACAAAATCGACCGAATTATGGTTACAACTCAACAGACTCCTCAAATTCTCCATAGTTGCTTCTATAAGTAAGAAAAGATTAAGACATACAAATTATGTATATTTTAAATATAAGAAAAATCTTGTAATTAGATCTCTACTAATTTTGTTTCATAATATATAGAATATCCTATAATTATATCTCCTTAAATTTTGTTACTGTTACGAGGGTGTCTAGCTTAAGCGCAAAAATGTCTTTTGTATGCCTAAGGGCAATTTTTGTCTTATTGTTATTATTATTGTTGTTGAGCATAAATATGATTAGTATGTCTAGGGTTAGGTTTATGCATGAGATTGAGTTGTGAGTCTTAGGTTTAGTTTTTGAGAGAGATTTCCTATCTCTCGAATTGTATGAATTGGGAGAGATCCCCTACCTCTCGAATCGTTTGTGCTTATTTTTATATTCTCATTGAGTTATTTGAATTATTGCAATAAGGAATATGTTTGCCCTAATTTTTCTGGAAAAAACATGCTGATTTTGAGATCGGATTGTACCAATTTGGTATTAGAACATCGTTATGGGAGCTTGGAAAAAAAATTAGGTTATCTGCTCATTGTGGTTCTTGGAGGAAGGATCCCCGCATAGAAAGTTGGATCGGGCTGCTACAGGACGTGAGTGTAGGATCGCGGAGAAGGCAAACCACAAAATCATGACTTACAGTGATTCGTGGGATTGTGGCCGTCTACGCGAAACAGTCACATTGATTATGCATTATAGTCACGATCAAAGCTAGC